TTCCTTTGCCCAGCCTCACTGACCTCGCCAAAGACACAACATTCTTCTTCCAGCGGACCCTTTGTCTTATTTACTCCTTAGTTCAGCACTAAGAGCTATTAGAGCTGACCTGATCTTTGCCAGGACACCACTGCAGCAAAACACCTAAGACATCACTAAACAATTTGCTCTGCCATTTCCCTTCTTCCCCTGCCCAGAGATGAGAAAAGCGTGACTGCGCAGGCAGGGTTATCAAGCAGGGACATATTGAGACAGTCTCTTTTCCCCTGCAATTTTCAATTATCTGAGCATCGCCACCCCAAGAGTCTCCTAATGTTCATCAGGGGCATTGCCACATTTAAGAATATTTATCTACTTCTTTTAAGGTTTCTGTGAGGTGAGAAAGAGTCAGCACCTTGCACTTTGTGTAGTTTTAGGAGCAGGTGCATTAGCCTTTCTTCATAAATGCCTTGTTATACCCTATTGGAGAAAAATGCTATTGCTGCGATCCCTTCCTTGAGCTCAGGAGACACTGGCAGTGCCTGCAGAGTGTCGGGGTGTGGGTGCCGAGGAGCCGCGGCCGGTGCTGGCGGTGTGTGGGGGTGTGGGTGCAGAGCAGCCGATGAAGAGTTTGCAGAGTGAAAGGAGCGTGTGAAGGACACAGAGTACATTCCTTCGAAAATTTTCTAATTGCGAATTAAATTGAAGTGGGAGCAAAGGGAAAGATAGCAATGATGGATCAGACTTCTTGGGAACCCAGTGTTAGAAACATCAGGGCTTCAATCTTCACTGTCCTTGGAGCCATCCATTCGAATCAATACTGTGCTTCACCAAAGCTGAGGTTTAATCATGTGCTTACTGTGTATTCAGCCAGGCCTTTAAAAACTCAGACTTCTTTGGCTAGGCATATTTGAGAAGTTAAATATTCAAAACCTAGGACAAGCTGAAGTTCAGGTTTGCATGCTTTCTTACTGTGCCAGGGCCTTCACCAGCCACTCCTGAATTGTGCGATTGTTCTGTTATTAGACCTTGAAGTTTTGTTTGTTAAGGTTGTTTCTGAAGCAGTGGATCTAACTAATCTTGCAGCTTGTAAGTAATCTTACAGTCTTTGTATTTTAATCCCTGCCCAGCCGAACTGCAAAGGTCTCCAGGGTTTTCCCTTACCATTCAGCCAGTGCCTTCAGTCCTTCTTCTGCCACCACAGAAAATGAAGCCTTTCTCCTTCCAGGCCTCATTTTCTTCCACACACATGCATTCTCCCAAACTACTTCCAGTTTCAACAACATGCCATTGAATCTGACTCCTCTCTCCCCTCTTACACCCATTCATAAACACACACTCTCTTCTCAGCACCCCCATCACCTACCAAAAATGTCAGGTTCACACCTACAAGCGATGTACCTGAGCCATGGCGTGTTTGCTCGGGACAGACATCAGCCAGGAGGGCAGACAGAATGATTCACAGCAGAGCAGGGAGAGAGAGCTTATTTCTTTGTGTCCAAACTCAAGATCTGTTCTGAAATTGGTGGGAATCATCCAAATGTTTATGTGCTAGTGGAGAGGCCATGTAAGGGTGAGAAGATGGAAGCTACAGAACGTAAGTGTATGTACTACATCTTTTGTACAAAAACAAGACTTCCAAATCACCCACTTACGTGACTGAGTACCTTACTTTTGTATCGGAGAAGGGAAAAAAAATGTTCTGTTTTGAAAAATCCAGGTTGATTTGTAGTGTGTTGAGTGGTGGACTAACTTTTCAGGGGATTATGGCCAGCAAGCATAGCAGGACCAGCGGGACCACCGTCTGTAGGGTGCACCCTCTTCGGGTGCTCCACCTAGGAAAAGTGATGGAAAGGAAATTTGTTTCTTGGTTTCTGGTGCTGACCCGTTTATGTCTTTGGTTTTGCCTCCCAGTAGGCAGGGCAAGCAGAGTACATGTCCTTTGTATTAACCAATAGACAGACCATATGACTGCACTCCTCCTTCCTCAAGAAATCAGGTTAAAAATACCTAACGTTTTCCTATCATCTTTTACTGTGAAATAACCCCCTGTCCTCATTTTGTCCTCATTTGGAGCACTTACAAATTCAGCTTAAAGATCTTCCCTTCCCTCCAGTGAGGTGGTGGTGGCAGGTTAGGAGTCCTTCCTAGCAAAACGCTAACGTAGATTTTTAACTAAAAGCTTGCAAGTAGCATCATCAATTGCTCAACTGCTTCTCATCATCCCCTAAG